TATTTTATTTCACATTGGATTGTACATGGAGTTCTTGTTTTGCATGCAATTCGTGTTTTGCAGGCATACTTATTTTCCATTCAGGGTGGTGTGGTAGAAACACCACATGATTTGACACTTTTTTTTTGAGGTTTAAAGCCAATCATGTCTCTAGAAGCAGAACATGCAATGCTACAATTTTTGACTACTTTTTCGACCTTAGGTGGTTCTTTCTAGTTTTGAAGCTTCTACTAAAAATCATTTTCTTAAGTGTTGTTATTGTTGAATTAACTTCATTAAAACCTGAACCACTTTTTTCATTTCGTGAGTTTAGAATATTTAAATTTTTGTACAAACTTAATTTCATTACTACCCTTAAATTAAACATCATGTTTCTCAAGTCTTTTCACATTTTAAGTTTAAACAAGTTTCTTCTTTCCTATTTGCAATATATCTCATGCTTTTTTTTGGTTTATACCACGAACATATCTTTTAAGTCGTTTAGCCTAAAAAAAAATCCATTGTCTATTTGAGGTCATCATCTTGAGAATCATTCTTTTGTGCTATTTCTCAGTTGTTAATTATCAAAAGATAAAACTGTACAAATAATCCCTGTGGTTAGCTGAAAATTGTCACTTTGGTCCAAAAAGGTTTGGACTAGCACCAGAGGTCCAAACTTTTCATTTTGTTGCGAGTTTAATCCAATTTACTTTGAACTTTTTTAAAATGACCGATTTGCCCCTCATTAATTTAATTTTTTATTATTTTTATTTTGTTATATTTTTTATTTAAAATTAAACAAAAAAGAAAAGAAAAAAAATAAATAAATATTTGTGTTATCATCCATTCACCACCCACCCCCATCTTTTTTCCCTCTAGTAAACATGAACACCACCACCACCGGTTACCGTCTCCACCGTAGCTAGCCGCCTCCACATCTCTCGTTCTCAAGTTTGAATTCCGGAAATGTCTTGTAACCTACAGTGGCTATTCTAGGTGAAGATAGAGAGGGGGAGTGAAAGGGAGTGTTGAAGGGAGTGAGAAACCCTTGCTGATCCACCACCATATGCAGATTTGTAACCACCACCACCACTAACATCGGAGAAGTAGAGAGACGAACTCCAGCCACATACGTTGGCAACATAGGATTTTTGACGAAGAAGAAGGGCAACAACGACAGAGGGTTTTCAACATAGAAGAAGAAATATCGTTATTTGGGATACCCTAACTCATTTGATACTCGTTATTCTGAAACCCTAACTCGTCGGATCTGAGAATCCTAACCAATCGTTGCCCTTAGTTAGCCAAATCTTTGGTCTGCAACGGTCTTCACGTTCGATGGAGAAAGATAAAGAGAGACGAGGATCGACGGAGACAGAGGTAGAGGCGGCGTTTGTGGCTTGAGTTTCCAGACAGAGTGACATTTACAGATTTGGACGGAGGCGACGAGATCGAAGATTGGAGATGATATGTTGAAGATTTACCATGGTACTAGAGGGTGTGGTTGAGGTTGGTTTTCTGTTGATAAATCTTAAAATCGAGACACAAATGGAGAAGATAAACTGAGAAGGGGGTGGTGTTGTAAACCGATCCTGATGATGATGAACACAAACAGATCTGGAAACAGATGGAGAAGACTAGCCCTAGATATGATTTGTCCTTCTATTTTCTCCATCTCCATTGATAACCGACGAGTTCAATAATTTGTTAAGGGTGTTTTTTGTTCCTCTGGACTGCTTTTCAGGAAGAAGAAGATGGGTATGTGTAAAGAGAGAGAGAGAGAGAGAGAGAGAGAGAGAGGGTGAGAGAGAGAGAGAGAAATTAGTTTCAATTTTCTTTTTATTTATTTTAATAAAAAACTCAATAAACTTAATATAAAAAACTGAAAAAAAGAAAAAAAAATAAGGGCAAAGTCGTCATTTTAAAAAAGTTCAAAGCAAAACGGACCAAAATCGCAACAAAATGAAAAGTTTGGACCTCTGGTGCTAGTCCAAACCTTTTTGGACTAAAGTGACAATTTTCAGCTAACCACGGGGACCATTTGTACAGTTTTGTCTTATCAAAATAAATTGTTGCAATATACAGTTGCCAGTCCTGTTGGTTTTGATAATTAGCCAAACGGAAAATTCGACTTAGTGATTGAAATTTCCATTGATATGGCAAGATTATATATAAAAAACTTAATTTAAGTTTCAAAGATATGACATAAAGATGATGTTTTAAAAACCGGGTTTTTAGTTGACCCGGTGTGATGACCGGTTCACAGGTCAACCGGTTCAACCGTCGGGTCAATCCGATTTATGGTTTTTTTTCTATTTTCATATATTTTTACTTTCAAGCACAATGCATAAATACAATGTTTTAAAACCCGGGTTGACCCGGCCGGTTGAACCGGTTGGACCGTGACCCAGTGTAGAAAGCGGGTCAATTGAGACCGGTTTTTTTGTAAAAATACGAACCGGATCGAACCGGCCGGGTTTCCCCTAAACCGCGGTTCGACCGCCTATGTCGAACCGGTTAAAACCGGATTGACCCGTTTTAATAGGGTTTGGATAGTTGGATACAAGTATCGAACATCAAAACAACGAGTCGTTTGCGATTTCTTTAATGTTTTTCAATGTTTAAACTTTGTGGACATCAAATTATTGGTTTTATATGTTTATGGATTATGCATGAAAATAAAAATATATAAAAATAGAAAAAGATCATAAACCGGGTTGACCCGGCGGTTCAACCGGTTGAACCGGTTGACCCGTGAACCGGTCATCACACCGGGTCAACTAAAAACCCTGGTTTTAAAACATTGCATAAATATATAAAACCAATAATTTGATGTCCACAAAGTTTAAACATTAAAAAGCACATCAAACCATGGTATAGATCAATCTAAGCACAATAAACAACCACATAGAGCACAAAAAACAAAACAAAACATAGTTTTAGTGTTCGCTATTTGTATCCAAGCTTTATTAAAACAGGTTAATCCGGTTTTAACCGGTTCGACGTAACGGTTCGACCACGGTTTAAGGGAAACCCGGCCGGTTCTTGTACAAAAAACCATTTTCAATTGACCAGCCTTCTACCCCGGGTCACGGTCCAACCGGTTTGAACCAGCCGGGTCGACCCGGGTTTTAAAACATTGCATAAAGATCTCAAAGATCGCATCTTGCCTCCAGGCTCTATTTATGCTCCAAAGAAATATATTTGTAGAAGATGGTATAAAATTTTCGTTATAAAATTTATCCGAGTCAAAGACACAAGGATTAATTTGTGAATGGAATATTAAACAATAAGAATGGAATTTACGTTTACAGTATTTTTCTTAATAAAATGAATTGGTTTTTTTAAAGGATCTAATTTTAAATCTTACAGACAAGGTAAAAGTCAAATAACTTTACAAGTAAAGGTATTTCTATGGAAAAGTTTTGTTATGAAAAAACAAAATTATATATATATATATATATATATATATATATATATATATATATATATATATATATATATATATATATATATATGCAATTTATCAAGGTTCTAAATAATTTATGTGTTATACACAACAAAAATTTAACTATAAGTTTTACAAGCCATAACGAAACTACAACGTTTGACAATTTTGCATGTAAGCTGATAAACCCAATTTTTTTTATTATTCATATATATTAAACACCGTAAATACTATAAAAAAATCATATAGCTATAACTTTATATAAATATATCAAGTTCTTAGAAGTTTTATATCAACAATTAATAACAAAAAATTAGTAAACACTAAATAATATCATTATCAATAGAAAAAACATAAATTAAAAAAGAAAAAAAAAATTCCTTGTAACACATGCAACACCTAACAAACTTAGAGGGTGTTTGAGAGTGTTTTTTTAATTATAAAAGAGCTTTTAGATAAAAGTGTTTATTTGCTTATAGTGGTGGTAAAATGAGTTTTTTAAAAAGTGTTTGGATAAACTTTTATAGTGAATAAGCCAATAAGTCAATAAGTTAAAAAGTATTTGGCTAAAAAAATGTTTTTTGAAGTTATTTTGGCTGAAAAACCATAAGCAGTTTCAAAAAGTCATGTGTTCTCATGCTTATTAAAAAGTGCTTATTGAAGCTTATGGAAAAACTATTCTGAAAAGTGCTTTTGAGTTTACCAAATACTTTTTTTTGGCTTATTAGCTTTTCAAAAAACCAATAAACAAATAAGCACTTTTCAAACGCAGTCCCAAATACCCCCTTAGTAACCGATCTAGAAGTCTAAACGGCTTTGTTTATGGGTTGTACACCATATATGTTTTGTAAACCATATATATTTTCTACAAACCCAAAAGGTGTATCATTGACAACCTTTCTTCCAATGTTGTCCTAACACGTGTGATTTTTCTAGACACACACCCAAGTAAAAGGGATAATGACTTGAGATGGTAACATACTTTTGAATTTAATCACATTTGGTCATTGAACTTTTTTTCATGCTTTATTAACCCTTAAACTTGTTGAATTGTGCTATTTTCTCCTTATGACCGGGTTTAGCCGGTTTCAAAGGGTTTATTGATCCTACGTGTATTTTTGTATCCTACGTGGCGAAAGAGGTGGCATGTAGGCCCCGATTTTTCGTCTCCTTCTCGTTAAACCACACCCCGAAGTCTCATTTGGTCCTTAAACTCGACTAGGGGACAAAATTCTCCACCAATCCTTCGTCTCCTTCAATCGTTCTGTAGAATGGCATCATCTCCAAATCCTACTGATCTAACTTCATTGTAGTAGACTTCCACTACAATGGTCAGTTTGCCCCCAATCCCTTAGTTTACTTTGATCCCGACAGAGCATCAGTGCGAGATGTTGACTTCAGTGGGTTTAGGTATGAGCAATTCATGGAATTCCTTCACAAGCTCACCAAATCGAGAAGCAAAGACATCTAGTTTTGCCTTCCACAAGAGTCTTTAGGTCTTGGAATTCATACACTGGTGAACGAGGGTGATTACAAGGAATTTTTGGATTTGGCGTATGCTAATGACAAGAGAATGAATGTATATGTGGATCACTATAATGAACCTATCTTCGACTGGATTGAAGCTGAGGAAAGTGAAAGTGAAAACGAAGACTTAGATGAAGATGAGGATTCAGTTATTCAAGATTCATATTCTGTTGATCATGAAGAAGATGATGCTACCTATCCATTTCCAGCAAACAAAACTGTACATGATAGATTTTTAAACATCCTTTGTGAACCTATAGAGAGTGAAAATCAAGATGATGAATACGTGCCACCCCAATACCCTGTGTATGATGAGAGACAACCATGGGATCATATGAAACCAATTATAGGTATGCGATTTTCTAACCCTACTGAGCTTAAACATATGTTAAGCAATTATGCAGTTGCTAATGGGTATAATCTATGGTTTGAAAAAAAATGACTCTAATAGATTGTTAGTGAAATGTTGCAAAAAGAATAAGTCACCATCTTGCCCTTTCAGACTATGGGCCTCCTGGATGAGTAAAGAAAAGACTTTTCAGATCAAATCTCTAGTGAATGAACATAATTGTTGTAGGGTGTTTAAGTTTGGGTCAATTGTAACTTATAGATGGATAGGGAAACATTTTATGAGTCAAATTATAGAGAACCCAAAAATGAGTGCAAGGAAGATGAAAGCTAAAGTGTCAACAACATTCAACATAAATGTGAGTGTGGGGGCAATGCGGAAATGCAAAGAAATTTGCATTACAAGAGATTGAAGGAAGTTTAATTGAACATTATGGGAGATTGTGGTCATATGGTGAGGATATTATCAGGTCAAATCCTGGGTCTACTGTGAGATTGGATGTAGACATTATGCCAGATTCCACAACTTTGTTTTCCAAGTTTTATTTGTGTTTCAAAGCTGTAAGGGATGGTTGGTTAGAAGGGTGCAGGCCTGTAATTGGGCTTGATGGTTGCTTTTTAAAGGGTATAGTTAGAGGAGAAGTTCTTTCAGCTGTTGGGAGAGATGCAAATAACCACATCTACCCTTTAGCATAGGCTGTGGTATGTGTTGAGAATAAAGAAACATGGAAGTGGTTCATAGATTTGCTTATGGATGACATTAATGGTGGTCTTGGTGCAGGCATTACCCTTCTTTCTGATGGACACAAGATTAGTACTAGGTCATTTTTATGCTTCATTTTTATGCTTTTTCACTCATAATGATGTTGTGATTTGTAGGGGTTATTACAAGCAGTTAAGGAAAGATGTCCAAAAGCTGAACATAGGCAATGTGCTAGACACATTGTGGCCAATTTTAATAAAAGGTTTACTGATCAAGCATACTTAAAGTTATTTTGGAGGGCTGTAAGGGCTAGTACTGTGGAGAAGTTTAGAGGTGTAATGGAGCAGATCAAATCTATTGATACTCATGCTTATGATTACCTTATAGATAGAGATCCTACTACCTGGTCTAAGGCATTCTTTCAAGAAGGAAGAGATTGTGATGTTGTGGAGAATGGGGTCAGTGAGAGTTTCAATTCTGCTATTAGGCATGCTAGAAGGAGACCTATAATCACTATGTTGTAGGAGATTAGGTTATTTGTGATGGAAAGGATATACACTCAGAAAGTTGAAGGAATGGAATGGGATTTGCTTATATGCCCAACTATTAGGAAGTGTATAGAAGAGCTGAAGGTTAAACAAAGGTAAGTTTTTTTTACTTTAATATGCTTATGTTAATTATGCGGATGTGTTATTGATTTATATTTTTTTGCTTAAAACAGATTGTGGGGAGTTACTCCTTGTGGTTATCAAAAGTATGAGGTTAGATTCACTGATGTTGCATATGGAGTGGATCTAATTGCAAAGAAGTGTGCCTGTAGAATATGGCAACTTACAGGGATACCATTCTTACATGGAGTGGCAACAATCTCTTACTTAAATCATGATGCAGAGACATATGTGTCCCAAACATACACTACTGAGGCTTACCTAGAATGCTACAAATATAGCATTAATCCTCTCAATAGTAGTGATATGTGGCCAGATGTTCCATACCATAAGCCTTTGTCTCCCAAAAGAAGAAGATTACCTGGTAGGCCATCAGTGAAAAGGAAGAGGGATGCAATTGAACGAGAGTTAACTAGACCAAGTAGACAAACTGTCTCAAGAAGGGGAAGCATGATAAAGTGTGGTATTTGTAAGGAACCAGGTCACAACAAGAAAAAGTGTCCATCTAACCAGCAAAGCAATACATCAGGTGAATATTTTTAAAAACATTACATCATTTGAACAAATAATTGACATTTTAATTGTTGTTTGCAGTACCAAGTTCATCCAGGGGCAATGGAGCAGACCCAAGTTTATCCAGGGGAAATGAAGGACCACCACCTACAACCCAACCACCACCACCACCACCACCTGCAGCCCAACCACCACCACCACCACCACCACCACCTGTAGCCCAACAACCTCCTCCACCACCACCTGTAGTCCAACCACCTCCACCACCACCACCTGCAGCCCAACAACCTCCTCCACCACCACCTGCAGTCCCCATGCCAAGAAGAAGGGTCTTAGTTAGTAGAAGTGGAAGGATGAAATATTCTGAACGGATCATCAAACAAGCATTAAGGAGGCAGATACCTGGGGTTGGGAGCAATGCAGATAACCCTTCAGTTATTGATTAATTTAGTGGGTGTGTAGTGGGTGGGTAGGAATATCTTTTGTAACGTAGTTGTGATGTAAAGACAAAGTAGTAGTCTTTTTATTATGCTTTTCTATGGTACTATCAAGTAGGTGTATGGGCACATGGTGACCCTTCTTTTGTATATGCAGGAATCTTTTGTGTTACCTAGAAACTACTTTTGTGTATGCAGACAAAAACTTATTTAATTTCGAATATTAATGGAGTATTTCAATGAATCCAACCACCACATTCACTTACTTTTTTATTATATGTATTCATTGTTAAATCATATATGTATAATTCTATTCCAGTCAAAACTAATTCTTTATATGTATGCTACTTTGTGATTCTATTCCAGTCAAAATCATATATGTATTCATTGTTATATGTATGCTTCTTTATGATTCCATTCCAGTCAAAAATACTTCTTTGTGATTCCATTCCAGTCAAAGTTACTTCATTCCATTCCAACAAGAAGTTGAGATAATGGCTCCATTCTTTGTGATTCCATTCCAATGAAAGTTAATATGTATGCAGTTAACATGTATGCTTCTTTATAATTACATTCCAGTCAAAATTACTTCTTTGTGATTCCATTCCAGTCAAAGTTACTTCATTCCATTCCAACAAGAAGTTGATATAATGGCTCCATTCTTTGTGATTCCATTCCAATGAAAGTTAATATGTATGCTTCTTTATAATTACATTCCAGTCAAAATTACTTCTTTGTGATTCCATTACAATCAATGTTACTTCATTCCATTCCAACAAGAAGTTAAGATAACAACTCTATTCTATTCAAACAACATCTTTCAATACATCATTTAACTTCATTTCATCATATACATGATGATCAAAAAAAGAAATCCAATGGTAAACTTATATATTTTCTCCTTCATTGCAATGGCATCAGAGTACTTTTCCTTCTTCATTTGTTCCATGTCTTCCTTCACCTACTCTACTTCGGTCTTCAATGCTACTAATTCAGCTTTCATTCCCTCCACCACTTCCATTAGAGGCATCTGTACAGGTTCTACATCCAACCATTTCCAATATTTGCATTTACCCTTCCACAATAAAATTTCAAAGTGAGATTTCAAATCTGGAATAAATGAATCAGAAAAGAGGGAAATTTTAAGTGAAATTGCTTACCTCATTGCACATCATGAAATGCCTCCCTGGATTCTTTGGTGTTGTTGATGTTAGAATACGTGTAGGGAACCCACAATCACAAGTTTTTGGATTATTCACTGTGGATTTCTTGCTTGATCGATTGAGGGAGGATGAGAAGCTGTAGGAGGAAGCCATCGGGTATTAGGGCAACGAGGTATTAGGGCACAATAAAGGAACAACAAACGCCCCTCCTTTAATAACAAGAACCCTACATGCCACATAGATCAAACTGACACGTAGGATCAATAAATCCATTGAAACCGGCTAAACCCGGTCATAAGGGGAAAATTAGCACAATTCAACAAGTTTAAGGGTTAATAGAGCACGAAAAAAAGTTCAGTTACCAAATGTGATCAAATTCAAAAGTATGTTATCCTCTCAAGTCATTATCCCAAAAAGTGTATCATTGACAACCTTTCTTCCAATGTTGTCCTAACACGTGTGATTTTTCTAGACACACACCCAAGTAAAATGAGTAAATTAGACCAGAAAATTGCACTTACTTCATATTATCGTTACTTCATATTATTGTTATTAGCATATCATTAGTTAGTTGTATTATCTACGAGTTCTTGCTTGCATAGTAATTGTCCAAGATTTGGTTGTTGGATAGTAGTTATGAAGTTATATGATTACTTATTGTTTCATTCTCGAATCTTTAATATATCAACATGTTCTTTTCAAGTTTCATTATTTTTATAGTTACCATCTTAAAAAAAAGTAAATATTGTAATAATGTCGATTCATAGATACCATATGTTATAAGAAGTATTTTTGCCCCTTTTAGGGGTGTTTGGGATTTGCTTATTTAATTTGAAACACTTTATGTTTATTTGTAAAAATATTTATCAGTTTATTTGATGCTAAAACAAAAAAATGTTTGGATTAATTTATCCTACACCAAACCAAAATAAGTTAAAAGGTTAATTTTAGTGTTTGACAAACTTCCTTTATTTTATGTATAATAATAAAACAAATAAATAAAATTCTTTAAATAAGTTAATAAGTAATTAGGATGTGGCTTATCAAAAACTATTTGTTTAAATCAATAAGTGTTTATGAAATCTTTTTATCCAAACATTAAAATTCTTTATTAGGGATGCCAAACCTGAATAAATCAATAAACACTTCATTTAAACAATCTAAAAACTCTTATTATTATTTTTTTTACAAGTATTGAAATGAATGGAGATAAAATACTTCTTAGTTATTAATTTTTTTTCCTTTTCATTTATTTTTAAGGAATGGATTATAATATAGTAGTTTTTTACTCATTTTATTTCATGGTTATTTTATTTTATGGGTTAACTAATGCTCACTTTATTTTAAAAAAACTTGTTATAAGGGTTTTATCATAACATGTTTTCCAAATAACATGTTTTCGAAATAACATTGAGTGCAATTTAACGTGATATGAAAAGTAAAGGGTGTAACTGTAAATTTGCAAGTCAAAGGGTCGTAACGTGAGGTGCAATTTTAGGGTTTGGATAACAGTCTGGACATAAAGCCTCCCTGTATAGCTTTCGTTTCCCTCGATCCAAATTGCTGCGACGCCGGCGGTTGACCGGAAAACAGCTACCAGATTTCCGACGGGGGAGAGTTCCTGCTTCTTCTTGTTTGTTAACAGCTTTCGATCATTCTTGATTTTCGCCACAAGTAAGAACTTAACAACCTTCTTCTGCATTGACTAGAAATCAGGCATCTACTTAGTCCCACTGATTATCTTGATTTTTGTTGTCAACTCTTGGTTATGGATTTCTAATGTTTAATTTTCATCCAAGCAGAAAGTCAAAAGACATGGCTGGTGGAAAGGGAGACAAGCCTGCTAATGCCAACAAATCTAATGCAGCTGCGCAGTCTAGTAGTGAGTGTTTTTACCGAATTCTCTTTTTGAGCTCATGTTCTTAATCACATAAACATACTCACTACTTTGGGGTATGCATTTGTTTGACTTGATTAGTCAGAGAAAAGGGACGTTTTGATGTTTAACTTCAGAATTTGTGAAAGTTCTAATCCTTCTGTATAAAATTACGAATTACAGTTTGATGCAAAACAAATGATTTAGTTTTAAACTTCAATATTGATGTCGAGGCATCCAATTTCAAGAAAAAAACTGATAGTCACATCACTTGTATACAAATTCCATAAGTAGCTGAATTTTTGTTTAGATTAGAAATACGGTTCAGATCTTTTGTTTAGATTACAAATTCCATAAGTATGCTTGATATCAAATGCCAGTTTTTGGTCAGCTTCTTCTCTTCTACACACAAACACACAGATTTTTTTGAAAGTTATATATAAAAGCAGGTGCATGTATCTAACTATCTATATTCCCTATCTTATATTGTCATAAAACTTGTGATTGCAGAGGGAAGGAAGAAGGAGACTGGTCTAGGTCTTACCAATACTAAAGATGGAAACTTTGGGGAATGGTATTCTGAGGTATATAACATATGACATATCCATTGTTTTCCAGCTTTCTGTGTATTTCTTATGCTTTAACTTGGTTCTTTTCTGTTCCTATAGGTTGTTACAAATGGTGAAATGATAGAATACTATGAAATCTCTGGCTGTTATATCCTCCGCCCATGGACAATGTCCATTTGGGAGATAATGCAAGTAAGCAAGAAACCGTTAAGCTCAATCCAGTTTTTGTTCTGATGCAATTAAGCAATAACTAAACTGTTTTTTTTTAACATCTTAATGCAGACATACTTTGATGCAGAAATTAAAAAGATGAAGATTAAAACTTGCTACTTTCCACTTTTTGTATCTAATACTGTTCTACAAAAGGAGAAGGATCACATCGAGGGGTTTGCTCCTGAGGTATATTAACAAACATAATATTCTTGCTTTCATCTACCTTATGCTTTGTACATTAACAAACATGAATGCCTATATTGCTTTTGTGAATGTATTCTACTTTTAAATTCTTTCTTTTTCTTTTAATCTTTTAGGTTGCATGGGTGACAAGATCTGGGGACTCTGAATTAGAAGTTCCAATTGCAATTCGCCCTACTAGTGAAACTGTGATGTATCCCTACTTTTCTAAATGGATAAGAGGACACCGTGATTTACCTCTGAAACTTAATCAATGGTGTAATGTTGTTCGTTGGGAGTTTAGTAATCCAACTCCTTTTATCAGGTGCTTATTCATCACATCATCTTCTTATGTCTTAAACTTAAATCAGCTCATGATGATCACTTTTGTCTTAAACTTAAATCATCTCATGAAATCTTGAACTTTCTGTTATTTTAGGAGTCGTGAGTTTCTTTGGCAAGAAGGACACACTGCTTTTGCAACAAAGGAAGAAGCAGACACTGAGGTATAACATAATAAACTTAAAGATTAAAAGAAACATGAAAAAATGAAATCTTTTTTTTTTATTTTTTTATTTTTATAAAACAAATACCCTTTTTGTATATAAGATGCTCAATCTGAGTGAATTATGATTTATTTTAGGTTCTTGAGATTCTTGAACTATACAGACGTCTATATGAGGAATACTTAGCTGTTCCTGTTGTGAAAGGGAAGAAAAGTGAAATGGAGAAGTTTGCTGGTGGACTTTACACAACAAGTGTTGAGGTACTTATAACTTATATAAAATAGTATGTAAATTATAAACCATGAAATGTTAAATGACATTTTTGCCCTTCGTAAGTATTTATAAAGTATAAACTATTTTGTAGGCATTCATTCCAAACACAGGACGTGGTGTACAAGGTGCAACCTCCCACTGTTTAGGACAAAATTTTGCAAAAATGTTTGAGATTAACTTTGAGGATGAAAAGGGAGAAAAAGCTATGGTGTGGCAAAACTCATGGGCTTACAGTACACGCACGGTATTTATTAAAAAAGACTATTTTCTCATCAACCCATTGTACTTTTTAAAAAAAATAATCCAATTATATCATTATATTTTTAAAAAATTGAAAGTAGATTGCTATTGTTTACAGATAGGGGTGATGGTGATGGTTCATGGTGATGATAAAGGCCTGGTGTTGCCTCCTAAAGTTGCAGCTGTTCAAGTTATTGTAGTCAATGTGCCTTATAAAGATGCAGACACTGAAAAAATAAAAGATGCATGTTTGGACACTGTGAAAACTCTAAGTGATTTAGGTATTCGTGCTGAAGCTGATTTAAGAGAAAACTATTCCCCTGGTTGGAAGTATTCTCATTGGGAAATGAAAGGTGTTCCTCTGAGGATTGAAATTGGACCTAGAGATGTCACCAATAAACAGGTAATGAAATTGGAATTGGGATATGGAATCGGTGATTCCATGGAATCACTGATTCCCCGGAATTGGGGATTCCATGGAATCATTGATTCCCTGGAATTTGTGGTTCTGTGGAATCGGTGATTCCGTTGGAATTAGAAAAAAATAAGCTGTTTGTTTTTCAGGTGCGTGTTGTTAGGCGTGACAATGGAGAGAAAATTGATATTCCAATGGCGGATTTGGTGAAAGTGAAGGAGTTGTTGGATGATGTACAACAAAGCATGTTTAATGTTGCTAAACAAAAACGTGATGCGTGTGTTGAAGTGACAAAAACATGGGATGAGTTTATTAAAGCTTTAGGTCAAAAGAAATTGATTTTGGCTCCATGGTGTGATGAAGAGGTAATACTTTTGATTTAATTAACATAATTAATTAGCAAAAAGTTGTTTATCTTTTTCTTTTTAAAATTACAAAAGGGATAATTCATGTTCAAAAGTTACAGAAGGTAGATTAAAGTACGAGTAAATTACATTTTTAGTCCTTGAGGATAGCTGAATTTTTTAGTTTTGGTCCTTATTTGAGGTTTTTGTATCTTTTTGGGAAGTAAAATGACTATTTATGGGGATCAAAGTTGCAAAAGTCAACTGAACTCAGGGACCAAAAGTACTCATTTAATATGGAAAATGGACCAAAAACATTACAAGAAGCTTAAATAAGGACCAAAATTGCAAAAGTCAACTAAACTCAGGGCCCAAAAGTACTCATTTAATTTAGAACAAGGACCAAAAACATTACAATTTACAAGAGGCTCAAATAAGGACCAAAGTTGCAAGAGAAAGCTTTTTGGGACTAGATTTGCAAAAGAAGCTATAAATAGGGATGAAAAATGTAATTTACTTTTAAAGTGGTTATTGTTGTTCCTTGGCAACTCATGGTATTACAAAATTTGAGACAATAATTATGATGTGTAGTAAAAGGCAAAATATAACTTTAAAGGATATTATCCATTTATTATTAATTTATTTTATTGGATAAGTTTTAAATTTAATAATATATTTCAGGAAGTGGAGAAGGATGTGAAAACAAAGACAAAAGGAGAGACAGGAGCGGCCAAGACACTTTGCTCTCCATTTGAACAGCCTGAACTGCCCGAAGGTATTATTTTTAAGTTGCATTATTTTCCATCATCCAATAAGGGTATTTACGTCTTTTGCATGGACAATAAGGGCATTTATGTAAAACTTAATATTTGTGACAGGTACCTTGTGCTTTGCATCTGGGAAACCTGCCAAGAAATGGACATACTGGGGCCGAAGCTATTAACAAAATTTAAAATTTGGTTTTGTGGTTTATGTTTACTATATGGAAGCTTTGAGGAGTTAATCGTGTTTTTTTTAAGTGTTTGAAATATTGGAACAAATGTTAGTACTGTTTTTGGAAGAAAAAAAACATGTTTGGTACACTACTGGCTAATTAACTCGATGACTTTAATATAGTTAACATAACAATAATTTTGACGTAGTTCTTTAAATTTTTTTTTTTTTTTTGTCAACATAACAAGAACCTTCTTCTGTCTTATCATACAAAGTATCTCATTTGAAAGGGATTATCATTCTCTCATTCAATATTGTGCAACTTACATGTTGAGCACAACGCAATTATAAATAGAAAGCCACATCCTTTAATACGATGCTTTGCAAAAGGCTTCCCATCAAACACAAGGGATATTGTGTATTGCCTTTATACAAGAAAACCAAAGAGTGTTCTTTTCAACCTTCAATTTGCACCACCATTTAGCTAAAAGAGGAATGTTCATAATTCTAAGACAACTCACTCCAAGGCCACCTTTGTTTTTTTTGGTTTAGCCACCAAACTCCAATTTACCCAATGATTTTTTCTCTTATTTTCAATATCGTCCCAAAGAAACCTTCTTCTAATGCTCTCCAAAAGTTCAATCACTTTCATGGGAGCTTTAAAAAGAGCAATACAAAAAAGAGAAACACTTCCTAAAACGGAGTTGACAAGGGTGGGCCTACCACCAAAAGAAAGATTCTTAAATTTTTCAACTATTGGACTCTAATTTTTTGCAGGTTTCATGTTAGCTCCGATAGGAAGACTAAGATACGTAAAAGGAAACTTTGCAGGTTCACACTTCAAGATACTTGCAAGATGGGCTACATCACCATTTTCAACTCCAATTCCATAAACTTTGCTTTTAGAAAGATTGATTTTCAAATCGGAACATCTAAGAATTCTATTTAGATTTATAAAATTTACCTCGATCTTTCACCAATAAAAATAACATCATCCACATCCAGAAGATGAGATAACAAAGGACCATTATTAGGAAAAACGATACCTTGAAAAATATGACGATCGCATGCTTCTTTCAAGGAAATACTAAGACCTTCCATTGCAATGACAAAGAGAAAAGGAGAAAGAGGATTTCTTTACCTCAACCCTCTCCTAATTTCAATCTCTTTAGTTGAAGATGTTGATTAAAATAGAAGCTCTACCAAAAGAGAGAACTTTTCATCTATTTTTCTTGAGATAACTTAAAGTCAATTGAGTTTCTTGATTACAAAACTTTTATTGACACCCTGTGTAATTATATCATTTTTCTATCTTCCAGCTAGCTTATAAAAATTCAATCGTTAAAAAAATAGTCAATAAAACCAACAAACCTTAACAATTACCACCTCAGAGCATGAACATAATTTTCTTCGAGGATTGTTGGATGCCCAAGATGTTTGTATCTCATCATATCGACCACATGCACAAAAAATCATTTTCAAATGAGAGGGTTTACATTAGATGAAGGTTGAAGTATGAGATTGAAACCCATTTTCGCTCTTCTTTGATGGCAAATTAGGGTTAGTAACATAAATGCCTTCATGCAACTTGCACATCATGGGATGTTAACAGGAGAATGTAAACATGCCAATTGCCAACATGGTTAGATGAAGGGATGAACAATGCTAATTTAGTTTAAAATAGGGATCATCTTTGCAACATTTCATTCTTTTGGACTATATGTATCAAAACACAAATTCTGATTTTTTTTTTAAGCTGGAAAAAGGTACTAAATTTAATGCTTTTTAATTTTTAGATTGTCGTCCATAAACTTCTATTGGTGAATGATGAGTTGTCAGAAAGAACAATCTTGCTTGCTTTGCTGTCTTGCCGTTTGGAACTTGGAAGTATATTCACAACCTTCATATCTTCCAAATTTTCTCCATTCAAACACCAATCGCAAAAATCGCCCATCATCAGTATCGAATTTGAACTGCTGAGATGACATCATTCTCATCGTCACCACCGCCGGCGAAGAGTCCAACACCTACAGCGCCACCACATGTGGAGAACGAGAACACTGATCCAACGCAAACGCCTCTACCTCCTCCACCGGGATACGGCGTCACCGGAATTTTAAGACGATGGAGGCATGAAGACACGCTTAAAAGAGTATCTCTAGGATTGAGAGTTTTAGGTTTCGTGTTCTCAGTGCTTGCGTTCATAATCATGGCTAGTAACAAGCATGGGCGTGGGAGAAATTTCGATGAATACGAAGAATACAGGTTCGCTTTGCAATCGGAGTATCTGCTTCCTTGTTTGATTTGGGATTTCAGAATGAATTTGATGATGAATTGTATGAACAGGTATGCATTGGCGATTGCGATTTTGTCAACGTTATACACAGGATTGCAATCGTGGAGGCAGATTTACGAGATGTCGAACGGAAGACAGATAATTTCCGGCCGGAATTTGGCGCTGATTGATTTCTTGGGTGATCAGGTTTGCTTGATTAATCTCATTTCATCAACTTAATCTTTTTCATAAAAATTGATAGCATTGATATCCTCTGTTATTAGAAAGAAACGGCGTTTGACTTTGATTAATTTATACATTGACATTTTTCTTATTTTCATAATATTAGTAATTATGTTCATATAGTTTTCCTTTTCAAATTTGTTAATATAAATTATCGATATTTACTTCAAAATGCATCATTCATGTTATTCATTTTGTTTAAATTAGAACAAAATAATGTGATTGATATAATCAGTTTAAAACAAAATCATGTAATTCGTTTTAAAACAACTATAAGAAAATACATTGTTTATTTGGAAACACAACGTATAAAATACATAAATACAATTGGCTATTGAATATTATTTGTTATTTTTTAGATGAATAAGAGTCTGTTGATTTCTTTTGTATATTATAAAGTGTTGTGAAATAGATAGTGGTGATATTAATATATGAACAATATAATCTATTTCTTCTAAACGTCGGACTATTACTATTTTATCATTGTATATGAAAGTGCAAATAAAATGGTTTTTTGTTTTATAACTGCTCTAATTATAGATTATAGATGAAAAGAAATATAAAAATTTGAAATAATAAAATAAACTTGATTCATATATTGCTATATACTTAAAATATTGATATTTTAATTTTCTGAAATATTAAACATAACTAACGAATACGACTTAAAAATTGTAAGTTTTTTGAAACTATTATGATTATATTTTTAATATATCAAGTCAAGTTATTGTTAAAAATGGTTCAATTTTTTTTTTTTTTTTTTTTTTTTTTTTTTTTTTTTTGTGTTTGTCAAATAAAAAAAATAGTCTATGAGCTAGTTTTTTAAAAAGTTATTCTAACTAACACTTTAACGGTCTAATTGAATTTTTTTAAAATCTTCTAATTACAAAAAAACTTAATCTTATGCATTTTAGTTGTTTCACTTTTTTTTTTTTTAATTTTTTTTTATAACTTATCCGTTAGTTTTATCAAACAATTAGTTTCTATTAGTGTATCTATATAGTTTTCTATAAATAATTAATAATATATATTTTGGATGAATATGTATATGGTAATACACGTGACTATTCATAAATTATAACTAACAAAATAATTAAGTCAACAATAGTTGAGCAATGTCACATTCCGTAAAAGTTTGTTTTTGTAATAACTCTTGTTGGTTTTTATTTATTTATTTAACCACTAATAGTTTTTTTCTTTACCAGAAGAATATTTTGTTTAATTAGAGTTGTTTTTTGTAAACTTTTAAATTATAATGGTCAAATCATAAAATAAGAAATCTTGAGGTTAGACCAAACAAATTCTAAACTATAATGATTTTTATAAGATTAAAAAATCATAAAATTATAAATTATAGTAGTTATGCAATCTGGCTTTCGATGAGGAGGATAAAGAAAGTTTAGTTTTGAAAAAAAAAAGGAAATTTAATAAATAAATGTTTATTCTTTTTGTATTTATGAAGGTTGTTATTTTTGCACAAAGTCATAAAATTACATTTTGATATATAACTTATGAAACTAAATTATATATCAATTATATCATTAAGGCTATGTTTGACGTACTAGTTGAAAAACTAGCTATTAGCTTAAAAGCTAGTGGTTAAATAAAAAGCTAGCTGATAGCTGAAAAACTAGTTGATAAAAAATAATGTTTGATAAACATAGCTGAAAAATATAAAATCACATAAAAATACATGTACGAGTATTCGTTTCTATAATTAATTAAAAAATGTATTTGAAAAATTTTCAAAAAGCTCCTAAGTAGTTTTTCAAAAAGCTAGCTTATAAGCTACTTTTTGGCTTACCAAACACGACAACATAAAAAACTTGAAAAATAAGCTAGCTGTAGCGCGCCAAACACAACGTAAATAAAACAGAAACCAACACGTAAGTGTATATATAGCTTGAAAGCATCGTCATCCGAAACAAAACGTGAGAAGACATTTCATAATAATTTTAAATAAAGAAAAGGGACAAAAATAAATTGTCTTGTCACTTAGTGGATGAGGTATTGTGGTTTATTATTATTATTATTATTATTATTATTATTATTATTATTATTTAATTTAATTTAAAGAGGACAGTTGGGTATTTGGGAGTTATGGCTGTCAAAGTTTGGTTCGAAGCTTCCAATGAATTTTGACCTTATTATAAAAAGTATTTTTTGTTTTTTTGTTTGGTACTGAACCATTCATCGTTACGTTCGTAATTTGAAATATATTTTATTGTTTAAAAAATAACATATTCTACGTTCTATTTGCAGTTGTAATTAAAATTATTCTATCCATTAACAATCATTACATATAGATGATACTAAATATGATTGACAAATTTTTGAAGCTTTATTTTATTAAAAGGTTTTTTAGATATTTAATATTTGTCACAATTTCAAACTTAATAGTTATCAAGGAATTACATTGCAATAAAAAACATGGCCCCTTAAATATCAAAATTTTATATATATGTAAAATTTATTGATACTATGATAAACAAAAACAAAAAAAAAAAATAATGATAATAAGATATATGAGATTCTCTCAAAACTTTTGGAAGCAAATAAACCCCTACCTAATCATGTCATATTCTAGAACAAAGGCCGGATGCCATATTTGATTTATTCCTTAAAACTTTTTGAGTAAATTACACGAATGATCCCTATAGTTTTGGATAACTTATGTGTTTGGTCTTTAACTTATTTTTCTAACTTGGGAGATCCTTACTATTTGTTTTTATTATTCGCTTGATCTCTACTGTTTGTTTTTGTTACGCGTTTGGTCTGTCTTACCTAAAAAGACTATTATTTAAATAGGAAAAAATAATAAGGTATGTAAGGTAACGTGAGAGGGGTGAGATTGGGGTGTGTTTATTTAAATAAATTAGAAAATTTTAGGGCAAAATAGTCCTTTTAAGTAAGACAGGGACTAAACGCATAACAAAAAACAAACTTTAAAAACCTTCCGAGTTAAAAGATTAAGTTAGGAACCAAACATGCAAATTACCCTAAACCATAGGGACCATTCGTGTAATTTACTCAAAACTTTTTTAATTATTTGTCTAGTTGAAACTTAAGCTTTACTACAAAAATGTTTAAACACATTATAAGATTATAATTTTTAATGTTTATTTAAACGTAGATCATAGCGTATCTATTGATATCAGCAGCCTCAGCAGCAGTACCGATGACAAACAGGATGAGGGAAGGAGCGGACAACATCTTTACAGACTCTTCAGCCGCATGTATTAGCATGGAATTTCTTGCCTTCTTCATTCTCGGGTTATCAGCCATGCTCTCAGGGTACACACTAGCAAAAAAAACCTATGTGTAACATGTAATTAAAGCTCCTTTTGTGTTTTCATTATTTGTTCACTTTACAAAATACATTTTGCACATATCATGCTCCACTTTACATGTAAAGAATATATATATATATATTCTAACAGAAAACGATCAATTTGGAAGGAAAAAATGGTATAGTCTTTGTTTAAACGAATTAACATACATGTTTTTATTTGATTTAACCAAAGAATATTTCCAACTTTTTATTATCTATGATACAACAAATACAATTTCCTACCAAATTACATCACAAAACTAACTCATCCTTTGATCCTTTGACCAATTTCCTTTCTATCACCCTAGAAAAGAATTGTAAAACAACTCATCTTCGGGTTCTTCCTTAGCGCTCGATAACGACCCGTTTTTTCCTCGGTTCTGATTCACATAAGAACTCTCCGGGAGTCCATTGCTCCCGGAGTTCTGCAACATTTGCAGTGTGTACGGGGGTTGACCACTGTTGTTGGTCAACCCCGTTGTACTCTGCAAACTACTTGAGTAGTTTGCAGATGGCCTTATGGCCATGAGTCCGTAGTTGTTATTGGTGTTACCGTTGTTAGTTGTTGGTGGCCGATTAATGGCGTAACTCCCACTACCACGTGGTGCGGGCACATCGTGGTTGTGTTTCCCTTCATATGTTGTGATCACGGCTCTCAAGTCGTGTGATGCACGTTCCACATGTTTTCTTACTGGACAACCGTTGAAAGTGCACTTATAGTAACTCCTATAAGTAGTTACAAAAATTCAAGTTAGGAAAAGAAATTAATGATATCTTCCCTATTAAGTGAGAAATTAAGGGCACATTAATGTATTAAGATATATACATGTGTATTTTTTTAAAAACTAAATGGAGAGAAAACGATTTGGTAGAAAAAGTTTAAGAGAAGATGTTTTCCACGTGAAGTCCCCCATTTTTTACAAAATTTCCACAAGGCATTCAATGGGGGAAAAAAGGCTTTTGGGTTTGGAAAACGTTTATTAGATAAAACGTGCAAGGTTTAAAGCATGTTCAACGACTATTTAGTACAAGATTTTTGTGACTGATGCTAAAAGTGAAGTCAAGTCATTTTTTTTTTTTTTTTTTGTCACTATGCAAAGATAAATTGGTTTTTCAACAACCGTCAAAATGAGCAAGTGTTAGAACATGGTTTTAGATATGACATAAAATTTAACAAAACTATAGATGTACCTTGGATTTGGATTGCCTTTAACTACTTTTTGTCCATATTTCCTCCATCTATAACCATCATCAAGAATATCAATATCACTCGTGGTTTGAACCACAATCCTCGGTTCCCGAACCGTTCGACTCCCAGGACCCGAAATAGCTTCACTCTCGGTCTCACCCTTCCTGCAAAAAAAAAAAAACCATTTGAAATTCATTAAAAAACAATCTTTTAAATGCATTAATAAACTAGGTTTTTATAATTTAGCGTTAGCTAATAAACTTTTTGATAAACTATATTGAGATAGTTTATTGATAAGCTAACTTATAAGCTAAACACCAAATGGAATTATAAGTTAAAACTATCTTCTCAGCTAGTTCGCCAATAACTGTCTTATTCAAATTGATATGATTTATCGATACAAACAAAACCCTAACTCAACTTACCATCTCTTAGCCTCGGGCTCATTTTCATGGTCATCACCGGATTTACTAATTGACGAGCCTTGCTCGAACTCATCTTCCCCAAACGATGCGGAAGAATCGAAATGATTGCTTTCAATGGGGGCTTCACTATAAGAGTTTGAAGATGATTTCTTGGCATTTTGAGGCTTTGCATGACTATGATTTCCTTTGTAAACGATTTCCGTGATATGTCCTTCTAAGTTTCTTTCGACTTTCTTCTTTGTTGGGCAATTAGGGAACGTACATTTGTAATAACTTCTAGGGTTTTCGCTTCCTTTGACTTGTTTTTGACCGTATTTTCTCCAATTGTAACCATCTTCTAATCTTGTTTGATCTTTAACGGCTTGAGATGGATCAGAAACGTATTGGGTTTGAACCGATTGTGTTGATTCGGATTTATTTTTGTTGATTTCTGATGTGAAATCAGTTTGTTTTCCCCATTGTTGTGGTTGAGTTTTTACTTGTTCTTCCTTCACAAAACCAAAAACACATCGAATTATAAATAGGAATTCATTCTCACTTCTCGATTACAAAAACAATTTATTACGTGTTTCCATGTAACGTAATGGGCCAAAAAATTATGTCCCACCAAAAAAAGTTAAACAAAATGGAAATAAACAATATTAAGCAAGACAAGAGTATACGTCATAATTTGTACTATGCTTATCATGTACTTCAAATGAAAATGGGAAATTATGTCATGTATATCCAAAAAAGTACACTAAATAAAAGATTAAGATTAAATACCATCTTGATCGAAGCCATGGAAGCAAGAGGTCTTGCTTGTGATTGAAATGAAAAGTTAGAATAAGTTCTTTCTTCATCCTTGAAATCCAAACCAGAAAAGCTTCCAGTTGTCGGAGATGGAACAATCTGCAAAAATCAACACCACAATTATTAATCATCCCAGTTGTTGAAGATGATCAAACCCATCTATAAAAATGAAAACTTTATCTATAAAAGGAAGAGAATCTTACATTCGAATTGAAAGGGAAGAAAGGAGAATCCAAGAACTGGTTTTGGTTCAACCCAGTTGGTGTAGAAAGGAAAGCAGACGGAGAGAACGGCGTCGGAGTTGGTTTTGGACTTTCGCCACCACTACCGCCGCCGCCGCCGCCGCCACTGAAGAACCCCCAATTGGGATCTTCACCGGTATTAGAAGCAATAAGATCACTGAAAGACGTCGAGAAAGAGAAAGGTGGGTACTGAGAAGTCGTAGTGGAAGTATTCAAGCTGCCACCAGAGGAAGCCATGGGAATTATTGAAGAAAGTTTTGGGGATTTTGTTTGGTTTTTCAGTTGAATGATTCGTGGGTTCGTTTTTTATGAATTGAAAATGGATATTTAAGGGGGATGTGAAGGAGATAGATGGTGTCGGGTTCTCGGAAGGTAAAGAAGAAGAAGAAGAAGCAGAAAGAAATATTGAGGTTTTTGACCGTGGAAAATTTCGGATGGTCAAAGCTTGTGGGTTTGACTTGGACATGGCGGCTCAAGTAGAATTGGCAATGTTGAAGGAGACCCCTCATCTTTGGATGAATTTGTAAAAATGGGGCTATACTTTCAAAGCATTTGCAATTTAACCCTTCAGATGTATAGGCTTTGAGAATGTGATCGATGGTGGTGGTTGTAAAATGATAAAATTGATAGAAACCTCAATCAAATTTTATAAAATTAGGTGGTCGATCAAATGTATTATATGATTTTATTAAAAATAAAAATTTAATATATATATTTAAACATTAAATCTTTTATAAAATAACATTTTTACATAACATAATATAATAATTTGGAACATTTATAAAAGAAATCAAATAGCAAAAGAAGGTGCATCTACACTGAAACAAAGTTTTGCACGTCTTCTCCGCCTTAGAGTCGTTCTCCATCTCCATCTTTTCTTTTCTTCTCATCAGACGACCACCATAGCAAAAGAAGATGCATCTACGCTAAAACAAGGGTTTCTTGGAGGAACAAGATGACATTCACAGATGGGTTTACAAACATTGTTCTTGATTTTGAGGTTACAGATAAGGAAAATGTAATGTTTGAGTTTTCAGATCTGAAAAAATATGTTTGGATTCATCAGATAGTGGTGGTAGTTCTTGAGTTTTAATTTGAAATTATAGATCTGGAATTATATGAGTGTTTTGGTATTCAAATATGGAAAAATTATGTTGTTATGGTGTTCGTGGTGATCGGAGGTGGCAGTGGTGGTTGTTGGTGACCAACGGTGGTGGTGACTAACAATGGTAATCATAGCATAACTGGTAGTGGGATGAGAAAGAGTAGGGGGAGGGTGGGGTAGGGATAAGGGGTAATATTTTCTTTTTTGTTTTATTTTTAATTACGAAAATTCTAAAGTGTTTTTAAATAAAAAAAACAACTAGAAAAATAAAAAATAAGGGCAAAATCATCATTAATAGAAAGTTCAAAGCAAACCGGACAAAACTTCAAAAAAAAAAAAAAAAAAAAAAGATCTGTGATGCTAATCAAAACCTTTTTGAACCAAAGTGAAAATTTTAAGCAAACCATAAGAACTATTTGTGCAATTTAGTCTTCTTGTATTTACTTATTTTATTGTACACAAGTTAGAGTTGTAAGTGTACCACACTATTAGGAGTAAATTACACACGGATGATCCTGCGGTTTTGACTAATTTGTATTTTTGATACCTAATTTATTTTTTAAATTTAGATAGCACTTATTATTTGTTTTTTTTTTCTTCTCTAGTCCTTGCTACATATAAAAAGACTACATTACCCTTATTTATTTATGTATTTTTTTCTTTTCTAATTATTATTATTTATTTATCATTAATCTACTAATTACGCAAACCCTTTAATTACCTCCAGATTTCCACCTGTTCGTTTGATTAGTTGTCAAAGTAAGTGTCATCGGACTAAATCATCACTACCTTTGCCACCGGAAAAAAAAATACTCCATCGAATCCATTCAAATAAGAAATGCTTTCAAACCAAAAATCATATCATTAAATCCAAACCAATGACGAATTTAAGAAGGGTTTAGGTGGGTCCTATGACCCGCCTAATTTTTTAAAATTATATATAACTATTATAGAAAAAAAACTTATGACTCACCTTTGAAAATTTTGAGGAACTAATTTATCTTTTTAGAAAGTTAAAATAAATAAAAGGTACTTATGGTTTAGTTGGCAAGCGTGAAATTTTGTAACATCAATGCTTGGGTTGTATCCCTATTTAGACCTGACAATCGTGTCGTGTTCGGGTTGGTGTGTCGCGGGTTGATGGGTTGGTGGGTCAAAATATGCCAACCCAAACACGACCCATTTAAATATACAGGTCACGAGTTGACGGGTTTGGAACATAAACTCATATATGACCCGCCAACCCATTTATTTATACGGGTTCATAGGTTGGCTGGTTTGTGGGTCAAATTTGGGTTCGTGGGTCCAAATTTTAGATATTTAAGTCTTAAACATCCAAATGAAAATTATAAACATTCATAGAAACATGTTACAGACTTAACCTTATAGGTTATGACTTACGACCTTAGACCATTCACCACGACTCAAAATGTCAAAACAGTCAAATTGTCTATGAATCAATGGTATATATTATATAATACTTATTAAATATTCATACTTGATACATAAATACATTTAAAAATAAAATAATTTTTTTTATTAAGAATATAAACGGGTTGGCGGGTCAACCCGTTTATTTTTTGAGAAACCCATATATAACCCGTTTAATAAACAGGTTTGCGGGTTGACGGGTTAGCGGGTTGGCGGGTTGAAAAACTCAACCCAAACCCATTTATTTCGTGTCGTGTCGAGAATTGCCAGCCCTATCCCTATTATATTAGATGAGTGTTTTTTTTGATATACTCAAACATTTTACAATACTCTTATATAAATAGTGATAAGTGGTTTATAGTTTCAATTTTGTCATCATTTTGTCTAACAAAAACCTTAATTTTCATTTGTAAACATGTAATCGACACACCTGTTTATAACTTTACGTAAAAATCAATAGAAAATTATGTATTTATGTTTTTGTTAGCTTTTGAGAAATGAATCGAATGAGATAATGCAACATATATTTTTCTTGAGGATATTGAAACTATTTAAATTGGTTCCTTCATGAAGAATGATACTTAGATCGTATAGTAAACTTGTTATTTGTATTTAAAATTTGGCAATTTAAATATAGTTATTTGGCAATTTAAAAGGACATCTTAGTTGGTAAGCGATTTTTGAAAATTTAAAAGACATTTTATTATGAACCACATAATTTTCTATTTTAGATTCACCACTAATCCTAACCATAAATAAAACACAAATGCAAATCATAAATAAAACATAGATGCAGATGAGACAGAAAGAAAGAGTTTTTCTCGTTTTGGTTGTGGATGTGACAGCGGAGATGGTGCAAATCGGTAGCTATGGTCCGGTGATGGTGTGAAAACAGATGTTCGGTGATGGTGTAAATCGGCGGCGATGGTGCAGATCCGCGATCGGTGATGCAGATCTATGGAGTAGACGATCAAAAAAATTTCGAGTGCAAAAGCAAATAGTACGAACCATCCAAGTTAAAAAATTAAGTTAGAGACCAAATACATAAATTACCTTACACTGTAAGAACCATTCATGTAATTTACTCTATTTGTATTAGTTAAGACCGTCTCATATATGTTAAATTGTTGATTGTTGTAATATTACGTCAAGGGCCAATACAGCTTAAAATTCAGAAATGAGGGTTAGTTTTGCAATTCACTGTCACTTATCCTTTCATTTTCGTCCACAACAAGTTTCCTTTTTCAATATAAAGAATGAAATTGTATTTTTTATTTAGAATTTTTTTTAAAATCGTCACTATGTTTTTTTTTTTTGTTTTTTTATTTTTTTTATTTTTTTTAATGTTATGTCTTTAATCTTTTAAATTATCAATGTTGGTATTTGTAGTATTAAAACTTTTGATGTTTGGATTAACTTTAATGTTTTTTTATCTGTTGAAGCTCATTTTCATTGACAAAATAATCTTTTCTATATAATGTGGATAATTTTTGAATATATATATATATATATATATATATATATATATATATATATATAGAGAGAGAGAGAGAGAGAGAGAGAGAGAGAGTGTGTGTATGCATGTGTGGGTGAGTTCAATTGAAAAAATAAAAAATATTAAAAATGATGAAACTATTCTCAACCAATCATTTATTTAACATGTAAACATTAAAACGTACGTATCATTTTCTTTATTAAGGCTATATTTGTAAATTAGCCACTTTTTGATTTACTTCTTTATTCTTCGTTTTCATTTTTCAATTTCATGAGATGTTTATCTTGTTTGAATCGAATATAGAAGAATTCATTATCAACATTCTTTATATATATATATATATATATATATATATATATATATATATATATATATATATATATATATATATATATATATATATATATATATATATATATATATATATATATATATATATATATATTTTCAGCAATCACACATTTTTTTGCATTTATATTCAAGGTTCACATCCGTATTGCAGTTTTCTTTTTCGTATTCAGTTTTCGATTTCATCAGATATTTATATCGTTTGAATTAGATATATCGGAAATCGGAATTCATTATCAAAATTCTTTCTTTATATAATTCGTTAGGAATTACACGTATTCTTTCAGTTTGTCGTGAAGTTTCACATCAATATTGCAGTTGTTTCATCAGATTTTTGTTCTGTAGTTTGAGTTCTCTATTTCAATTTTATCATTTGATCGGAGTTGATTTAATTTTCAATCTGATCGTTTTTATGCTCTGAATGGAGAGAGATTGTTTAATTGATCAGGTTTTCATATGATCTTTATTGCAATTGCATCATCTAATCGGAGCTAATTTAATTTTCTTTTAGATATTTTGTACGCTCTGAGGTGAGATATATTTGAAATTAATCAGGTTTTCATATTTATGATCTTTTTTGTTTTAATTTTGTTATCGTTATTTGATCATGATTTTCATCAATATTAAGATTGCTTTTGTTGTTTTGTACATATCATTTGGTTTATTATGTAAAATTTGAGTGTTATTGATGGTGATTTGTATTCTACGATGTGTGAGAGTGAAGAAGAAGATGTTGTTAACTCATTTTTTTTGAAGGTATCACTTATTGAATTATTATATTGTTTTTAATTTTGGTGATGATCATATATTTACATATGAATCTGTAAACGTGAATAAATTATTGTATTATTGATATATGAATAAATGTGTGATAATTGTAATTTCGAATTTATTATTATCTTCGTTTTATTCATATATGAATAAGTACTGTTTTTATTTTATATTTTTTGAATATGACATTTATGTATTCATGTATGAAGTTTTAGTAATCCATTACTAAACATTGTTTTTTGATGGATTCATATGAATTTCATGTATTCATATATAATTATTTTATTC